AGTGATGTAACTTTCAGAAGTGATTGAAGCCAAGAGCTAAGAGAGATTTTAAGATAAACCGAATGCTGGTATGGATATTRTTATGGACAGTTATTCTAAAAAATATAGTTTGGGGTGGAACAGAAAAGTTCACACTTTAGGCTCTGAGCCAATCTGTGAAAAGTTTGGGYTATGGTTCCCTTTCATAAGCTGCAGGGAGAAGAGCAGAGTGTGGGTTATTCCACTCTCGCCTATTAAACAGCAAAGAATCATTTGAGGTGTGAGGAGCTTGGACTCCCAACTGTATTTGYAGGGATGTGTCCATGTGAATTGTTTAAAAACGTGGTTGAGTATATCCAGKGTGCTCTGTCAAATCTGGCAAAAGTGCGATTGTGTGTTCTGCTGATTAAGTCCCTGTACCAGTGGGTGATCTGACRTTATCARCTGTGGAACTGTGTCTTAACAYATTACCAACAAGTCCATCCAGGCAATTCTCCTTTGTTATTGTAGTGAAAGTTGTTGAACCTACTAATGGACACTGAGGAGTCGTTTTTTATTTGCTTTGCTGATGCTGTTTTCAGGTTATGCAGATTCTGTATAATAGCATAGCTATAACTTATGTCCTGACTCGTCCTTTGTGGCAGTGYGTTTCATGTTTCTGCTAACTTAGTGATTTAGAATGTATTATCTGAAGTAGGTCCATATGTATGAAAGTAGACCCTCATGGTTAAATTAAGGTCTTTGTTTATTGARTCTTATTTCATTCTCTTCTTATTCCAAGGTGTTAAATTCACTGATAATTTCATGGATTTCTGTATTCCAGYTGCATGATTAAATTTTTAAATTAAAAACTGTAGGTAAGTGTAAGCATGAGTGGTGATTTGTTTAAGTGAAATAATTCAAATGYTTGTGAGAATTTGGTTAAAGTCGTTTGGCAGTTCCTGTGACAGTTTGTGGGCAGGGGTGTCATTAGGTTATTTGTTACTAAAATCCACAGTAAGGTGAGCTTTGCAAATAGAGTGAAGAGAGGTTGAGCAGGGGGGTGTTGCTTTTGCACTGTGTTTCCTTAATCTGGATGAACCCATCTGCGTTTTCACATGAAGAGCCTTAGTCCATCCTTGCAAAGAGCTGTGCTGGATGCCGTGCTGTACGGAGCTGTAAATCACAGCTTGCTGAAGGGAACTAAACACTCCTATAGCTCTGCCACTGATAAAATCGGCTGCTTTAATCCCCTTCACTTGAAAGTGCGATGTTGTAGCTGAAGACTGCCTGTTACAGAGAGTAAAACCAACCTGTCCATGCTTGTCCAAAGTTGGTATTCCCATAAACTAGTGGCATTGGRGAGAAGATCTGAGGTCTGGTATAGTCAGCTGAAGAATGGTGCTGGTTTCTGTTATTTCATATTGCTAATGAAATGCACATAAGAACAGAGAGATGTTGTTTCATTGTCCAAATTCTAGAAATGAAATAACAATTCTTACTCAAATTCAGTCAGGAATATTACAAAGTTTTAAACAAATATTTGATGAATAGCATTGTCTGGATAGTTATATATGCACTATTAAGATGAAGTTTAGAGTGTGCCTTCTGAAATAGGTGAAATCGTGAGAAGAAAAAGAATATTTTAACTTTCTATTTATACTAGGAGCAAACTTAGTTTCCAGAAGATCCGGTTCATCCTTGACTGTATTTCTAGACAGAAGTTCTTGTTTTTTACTGGAAAGATGGCACAATATTTTACATGTGTTCCATCCTTCAAGTTAGATTTGTTTTGTGTAAACGTGGTAGCATGATCAAAGCAAGCATATAGAGTCCARTAGTGTGCACAAGGGGCATGAGTGGCTAATCAAGAAAGTATTTAATTCCAGTTAATTTTTCTGGAAATTTCTAAGACTGTAGGTATAAATTATAGTTAGGAGGGTTTTTTGTTGTTTGTGAGGGTCTTTTATGTTTTTTTTTTAATCCACTGTGTTAGTTTCTAAGGTATTTGATGTCACTTGTCAGAAATCTATCAATAATGATTTTCTATTAAAATATATAGTAAATGGTTTTCTATTAAAATATATAGTAATTACTTCAATTAAATTTGAGGTATTGATGATAAAATATTAATCATATATGCCAGGAACCTAGAAGCAGTTTAGTGGGTTTTGGGGGTGATAGTTTTGTTGTTGTTGACAGGGTTTTGTGCATGTGTTGGGTTTTTTATTGAGTTTTTTTGCGTTGTTTTCTTTTTAGGTTTTTTTGAACACAGTGTGTTTTTAACTTCAGAACAGTGTTTTGCTACTTAGTTCTGGCACTGGTAAGAATGTTAGTGTGGGGAGCTGGCACTTGCTCTCAGATGTTTTTGTCTCTTCTCAGAGCAGATCTAAATTATTTTCTGGAGATGTTCTGGAGGTTTCCCAAGTCCTTCACTGCTCCCCTTGGGCATTTATGGRAAGCAGTGAGCACAGGATAATGTGGTAGAAAAAATGGGATGAACACAGGTCAGTTCRTCATAAGGGATTGTTATTATCTTGTAAGTGTCCTCTCCTACAGTTTAATGTGTTGAGTACCATTTTATGATACAGTTGAATCAGTGCAGTGCCTTTTTGTCACAAAAATCTCCTTTATCCCCACACCCAAGGTTTTGCAAAGGAMGGCACTGAGATACACAGCAGTCAGCTCTGGCATTTGTTGTTCTTTTTTCCTGAGTCAATTCAGTTGATTAACTGGTTGGTTTGATTTCTTGCCTGAAGGAAAAACAGCTTTTTTGCTGAATTAGTGTGACAATTTGGCTAATAGAGGAGCCTGGTTAGTGCAAGAGCAACAGAGTTCTGGGAGAAGGCATAGAACCTCTGGACAGTGAGGAGTTGGGTTATCTCCACTGTACTTAAAGGTGATACCAGGTGATCAGAAGTAAAGCCTGTTGTTTACTATCTTTTATGTTGGTTACTATCTKTTGAAAAGAGCTAAACTGGGATTCAGAAGTTCTGCAGTCAGAGCAGGACTTCTCAGAAGTGGTAGATTTAAGCTACTGTGTGAATGCTAAAGTATGTGGGGTTTGGGGTGGAGATTGTTGTGGGTTTTTTGAGACTGCACATAGCAATCAGAATCTATTCAGCCATGTGATGCAAAGTAGAGTAAATCAGTTGGTTTATTTTTTTATTTTTTATTTTTATTGTCACACTTCACTCTAGAGCATGTGTGAATCTGGAGTAAAAGTGAAAATTGTGCTCTATAATGTAATTCAAGTGTGATTGTCAGTTCTCATCTCTAGTCTGAATTGGATACATAAATATCCAATAATACAGACATAATGTTAATCACAAGTCAGGATGGAACGAGAGGAATGGGCAAATGCATTTCAATTAAGGTTTTTTAAAGGATCTGTGTCAAAGTATTGAGATGTGATCTGCTTCTTGATGTACTCTGCTGGTGCTTTCAGATAATAGTACGTGTGCTGGCTGYGCTGGTTTGTTACGCTGTCAGAAGACTGGCCAAAATATTTAATTTTCTGCTCAGTTAGCAAGCTGAAGTAGCTCATTATAGGCTCAGATGCGTGGCAATACCTAAGCAGGAAGGAAGGTGAGGCCATACATGAATGACTTAATTTCCTTGCAGTGTCCTCGTGCTATACTCTTCATGCTTTTCCCTTGGAATTTGGAGAATTTGGAGACAATAGTCTCTGCTGTTTTTAGAAGCTTCTCCCTAGTATGTGTTACTAGAAAATATGGTTTTAACACCATTTAATGAAATTATAGTTCAGCRAGATAAGCTATTTGAAGAGTTGCTAAAAATATGTATTTATACTCCATATAKCTGCATACTGGCTAAATAATAATATCATATATGAAAACTCTTTGTTTCTTGCATGGAGACCACTTGGAGTACAAACAAGGGTAATGTAAAACCTGAAATCACAGTGATATGAAAAGCAGTTTTCTTTGACCCTCATCTTTTTCAGACTTGCTAGTAACATCGTTTATATCCTGTCTTAAGTTTTAGTTTTATGGAGTACCTGGATTCTTACAGTACAGGAAAGGATCTCTCRTGAAACCGATTGAAAATACTATAGCTGTAAGAAGCTATAAGAAAAAATACATAACTATAAGCAGCTATAAGTAAATGGAAGGTTTATGGTATTATAATATTATTATTACATCATTGGCATATTTTATTTGAAAACAAAAGCATTCCATGATTGCATGCACAAATGTTAATTAGCTTTCTTCCCTCCTTCAGTKCTGAAGTACCATTGTAGCTTCTATGCTGTAAAGCAATTAAGCATCCAGTTGCCTGCTATGAATATCTGCCTAATACTCCATGCATAATAATAAAAATCCAGTAATTATAGTTCGGTTGCTGACTATTAGTTGGTGCTTTCTAAAGTCACTTCATCTTTGTATTCTGTTGTAAATATGTCTTTATCTCTCTTTAACAATTTAATCAATGCTTCTGTGCTTATTTTTTATTTCTCTTCTGGCAAGTGGCAGTATTAATCACTTGATTAAAAAAGACTTGATTTTCAATTTGTTTTCAGATATTAGTCTTTTGTTGGGTTATTTAAAAACAACTGAAATAAGTGAAAATATCTCAGTCTTATAGTTTACATTTATTGGGATAATCTGTGCTAAATGTAACATTCTTTATTATGTTTTGGAGTAAATTTGATGTATTGATTTTATGTAGATTCTAGTTGATTAGAATTTGACAGACAGTCAATTGATTTTGAAATGTACTCGATCTAAACACTATTGTGCTTGGGAAAGAGAATCTGAATGAAGCCATCTCAAATTAAATAGAGTTCCTATTTTCTATTTTATGGCTTGTATTGATATGACTTGGTAGTAATTAACTTGCAGTGAAGCATTTAGTTGCTTCAGAGCAATCTGAGTGCTAAGTAAATTAGTGCAGACAATGTTTGTTTGACTTGGAAAATACATTCAGCAATTGCCAGTGTGTAACATATAAAAGCAATGAAGTTGTTTACCTTTTCCTTAATGTGAGCAGTATTAATTACATTATTCCATTTTCTCTAGTTAAAGTACCTCGTAATTTTCGCTTGTTGGAAGAACTTGAAGAAGGGCAGAAGGGAGTTGGTGATGGTACAGTAAGCTGGGGCCTTGAAGATGATGAAGATATGACACTCACCAGATGGACAGGAATGATTATTGGGCCACCAAGGGTACGTGTGGTGGATTAAAACATTTTCGTTAAGTTTGTAGGCAATAAAAATGGRAAAAAAAATGTTACTGTTCTACAGTGTAAAGGAATTAGTTAAAATTCAGTGTATGAAATTTTAGAAATATTGTCTAATTCTTCACTTTCTGGCATGTGAGTGTTTCAGTCTAGCCTTCCCTGTTTCTACAGCTGTCTGTAAAAGCCAGTTGTGATTTGAGACTTATTTTACTGAGTTGTGAGTATATTCATTCTGTATTTCCACTGTTGCTGCACCTAAGTGTACACTGATAGTACAATAAACAGGTAATTCTCTTTCCCCAGTTTATCATAATGTGCCTGGGTAATTTCAATTTTTTGGTAAACTGGCAATGTATTTTCAGCTTCCACGAGTTTTATCAAATTGTCTTTCAGTTTAACAGTGTTAGAATTTCAGTTGAATCGTGCCTACAGGCTAATCAGCTTTTAATTACCTGTAATCCTTCTGACCTTTGGAGTTCTGTAGAATGTCATTTAGACTGATACAACGCACAAGAGAAGTAACCACCTCTTGTGTGTATCAGCCACATCAGATACTAGTGGACACGTCTTTACTTGACTTACTGCATACCTTCTCATTAGTTACAGTATGATACAAAAGATCAGTGTCTGAGACCTTTAAATGAGTGTATCTGAGTAGCTCTAAGTTAGCAATGTCTTTCACTGCTAGAATGAGAACCATCTCATATGTCCCTTGGTGCTGCGGGGCTTATGGAATGAACTGTTCAAGACAGAGATCAGAACTCTGCTTTAGTCAAAATAATGTCTTCCAGAGTAACAGAGTTCCAGAGAGATTCAGTGTAATTCAAGCTCCTTTTGAAAGTCAGTCAGTTGCAACTTGGAGTAGGCTGCTTTGAGCACCTGAATAACTTTGCTGAGCTCCTAAGATTTGTGTGCAGTTGGGAGAGGGCAAATTTGAAGTACAATCATAATGACTGTATGCTTTGGATATTGGCTTCTGTGGAATCAGAATACTGCTTGAATACAKTTTGAAGGAAGTTTGTAGTCTAATCATTGGGATAAAAACTTGAAAATTTGACCTAGCTGATATAGGGTGTCCCTGACTCTCCAAAAACCCTTCAGAACTGCCTGTGACTGGTTTCTTGTTCAACCTAACATAGTCTACTTCATGTCTATGAAAAGAGGTTGTGGTGTGTRTAATACTATACTTATAATACTAGTATGCAAGTATGCTAGTATACTAGTATGCAAGTTTATACTTACAAAACTAKTATGTGTTTTAAAAAATTAATAAAAGAACTTGACCTAGCCCGGGATATGCTTTTAGTCCTGGTCAGTTTGTAGTTCTGTGGTTTTATTTTCTTTATGATAAAGAGTGCATGCAAATAATATRTCTCGTGCCATTCAGGGATATGCAGTCTTGCAGGTAGAATGACTTGCAATATGTRGTGTCTGTAGGAAGTGGAAGCCACCAGCTCCTATGCCAGTGGTAGCACCTTGAGAGTAATTGCATATCTGTTTCAGGGTTTATAGAAGATGAGTGTTTTTTGGAATTGGCAAAGTTATGTAGATGGTACAGTTAGGCAAAACATGGAGAAAGTTGCTAATACTGTCTATGAAGTTCTTCTCATATGTGACTTTCTTTAGAGCTCTGCAGAAAATTGGTTGTCAGGTTTTTTTTCTTGCTTCATTTGAAAGGTGACCCAACAAAGAGAGAGGAGGGCAAAATTTGTTCTGGATTAAAGGAAACATTTTTCTGACTCCCAGAAAATGGGATTTTAGTTTGTTTTAAGAAGCTGTCTAGGGATGTTTGGCTTGCAGCAAAACTGTGACTTGATAAGCTGAGTAAAATTGACAAGCCACTTGGATAGGAATAAGGGAATGAGAATGAGTGCTGTTTTTAGGATTTTCCAGAGTTGTGAGCAGAGTTATATACATTTTGGCCTATTTTCACTATAACTGTCAGTCCATGTCTAGGAAAGAAAATTATTTTGGCTCAATGAATATTGAGAATTTTTGTTACTGTGTTTTCTTGCTRTGGTACCAGCTATGTTATCTGTAACAGGACAAGATGGCTTTTATCTGGCCTTTAGCTTTTAACCATAGAATCAGAATATTGGGGATTGGAAGGGACCTCAAAAGATCATCTAGTCCCAACCCCCGCTCCATTAGACCAGGTGGTTTTGCCTTTTTGCCATGCCACTAACTGTTCAGTCTCTGTGCCTGCTGAAAAATTATGGTACACAGTTAGGATGCTTCAATAGTCCTGTTTTCACTCTGCCTTTTAATTAAGCACAGWCTGGACTGTTGTTTAATAGCTTGGCCACATGATTGATAATTCTACTTGGAGAAATGACAGCTGGCTGATGCAGAACATCTTAAAGGTGCTACTTCTGGAAAGTTGAGAGGCATGTTACTGCTTTTTTTTCATGTTGGCCCTATCTGTTGTGCCAGTGGAAAGGCAGGYGTAGAAATGGAGTTCATCTTCCTTTTGTATTACAGAGGTACGTGCATCAGTGACAAGAAAAAAACACTGATCCCTCATAAAAGATAGAACCATATCTAATATGACTTTTTCAAAGTATACTTGCACTTAGAATTATCTGTTCCATGGTCACTTTGGAATGACATCTGTAAACTAGCAGTAAGTTTACTGTCCAAGCTCATAAATCCTCCAGTAAACCAAATAATCCTCATCTGCAGAAATTTCAGGTATTTTCTGTGGTGTTAACTACTTCCAGAATAGGTTGCTTTTGCAGATCCTATTTTTATCTTGTTTGTGGTCTTAACTGTTGAGTTATTGGCATCTTTGTCTTTCTCCATTTCAAATTTTTTTACAGTGTTAGGTATTTYATTACAGGGGAAGGTGATAATTTTCCTAAAGAAAACTGATTTCTCTTAGTCCTGTACTGTGCCACTGTTGTTTTGAGGATGCARGTGGATAGGCTGAGTGCAAATGTGAATTAAAAAAAGAATTGTGTTAAATCTTGTGTATGGCATAGTCAATAAGTAGTGTAATTTATGCATAATCATGAAGTAATCAATTTAACCAAAACAGTGGAAATGGGTTGGTAATTCAGGGCCTTCAGTTGATACACAATATTGYGAACTTTATTTAATATTTCTTAATTGTTATTCTTCTTGCCTTTGCTTTTAAAAAATCATTAATATGTAGCTTTCCATAAAATGCATTAGTCTGTCTTTTTGCTTTCTAGACAAACTATGAAAACAGAATATACAGTCTGAAAGTAGAGTGTGGACCTAAATACCCAGAAGCACCTCCTACAGTTAGATTTGTAACTAAAATTAATATGAATGGAATAAATAATTCCAATGGAATGGTAAGTTGAAATGGTAAGATCAACCATGTTGTTAATTCATATTAAGAATTGTTTCTTTGAAAATCAGGTGAGGAATATGCATGCTGGACAGAGCTTTTGCATTTAATCTTTATAATATAAATACAGGTTTAAATTGAGTTTTAGTGGCCTGCTACTTCAAATCTTTGTGGCTTTTTGTGGCTTACCAATGAGACAAGAATTGTTTATAAATTGAGACAGTTGTTTCTTTTAAATGAGGATAAAGGTTTTCATTTTGAATAGGAAAATAATAAGTGTTTAAGCTGTATGTAGGTATTTCCCTCGTAATACTCTTATAAAAGGGGATTAGTTTTGTATTGTAGCAGGAATATGACAAACCCTTTCTGATGCTTCCATTAATTAAAAATGGAAGTGATGAGTCCCACTCAGGATATATTAACTGACCTGTAGTGAAGTGGTGTATTTATACGCTTGTTTCCTTTACACTGCATATAACCAAAACCAAGGTGAATTTCAGTATTCAGGTCTTTTGATACAGATGGTAATCACTTTATTTTGAAGATCAATTTGCAGTAAGTTGCTTTCACTGATCCTGCAGTTGGGGTGAGATGAGTTCACAGACATAAGCCATGACAGCAGCTCAAGCAAGTTTTCAAGGTTATTCTGTTATTCACTGGGTCCTTAAATACTTATTTAAGTGAGGTGCCCGTTGCTCAATGAGAGGAGGTGTGAGCTGTCTTGTATTTACAGTGGTATATGCATGTGTCAACAGGAAGTAGTCATATTTGTGTGTTCRTTTGTCTTTTGTGAATGCAGAATAATTGGATTAAGATAGTATCTAAAGGTTTGTTAGCATCTTTGGATTTTAAATAATTTCTAAGATTTAAAAGAAAGATGGACTCACATTTCTGTAATTATAAGTACTGAAATGTGAAGCTTGTCTCAATGACAGTGGTGGGGGAGAGGCTCTCAGGGGTTCTTTTGAGCTGTTGTAGCTTGTAGAGTAGTATTCTGGTTGGTCATCCAATGCCAGTGCACTAATGCTTCAGAAATAATCTGAAATTACTCTGAAAATGCTTTCATGTAGCTAACAATGCTACTCTACCTGAAGATCCTGTTAAAATTACTGTCTGCAAACTGGCTCATGCCCTTCATCACAGCTGTGTCTTGTGTCTAAGGMTATGTGTTTATTGAGAAGTTGTGAGAAGCAAAAGCTGCTTATGATGTGCTTGGAAGATGATTTTCATACCTCTTCCTAGTACCATGGGAACATGTATTATTCTGATTCAGTGAAGAAGTATGCTCTCATGGCTTCATCTCTGCATACCTCAGGGTGTAGGTGTTGGTTTTCAGAAACAGGACCTTGGACTTGCAGAGCCTGAAGTCTCATGTTTACTGAAGCCAGTTAACTTGAGCTTTTGTTTGACAAAGTCTACACTCCTTGCTGAGGAACAGGTTGAATACTATGACAGGAAATCTGCCTTGTCATTTTAAAACCACTGTTCAAATTGAGTCACTGCTCAATTTGAGGAAAAAATTTCTTTAATAAGTTAATAACCTTACATAAATCTGTTTTTTTTTTCTGAACACAATAAATTGTGTATCTTATGAAGGACTTGCCATGCAAATGCATAACTTCTTTTAAAATGGACTAAATAGTATTCGTAATGAAAAGAGTTTTCATAAGTAATGAATTTGAAACACACCTATTATGTCATTCTTAATGTGCACATTGTCCCAGTGTCTTGCATTTTATCTTATTTTGCCTTTGTGCCTGTTTGAGAAACTGTGAGACAAACAGTGGGGGCGTGTTCAGCATTCTGGAGCAGTTAATGTTGCTGCTTCCTGATAGTTCCTTCATGTTTCTTCTAAGCCACTCTCCCTCTTTCTGGTCATCTTCACTTAATAGATCATAAGCAGTTTGCTGCATTTTTTGAATTAATGGCAGGGTTTCATCTGCAGACATCCTCTACTGTCCGTGCTTCTGCAGACACCCTGCKTTTTGACATGTGGCCAGCTTTTGGTCACATTGCTTATAGATGTTGGGAAGAAGTTGGTGACTTGCAGAAAAGAGACCTGAGACAAAGCAGCAGCTGAAATTGTATATCTTAGCAGATTACACTCCAAGCATTTGTAGTGTTGTTAAGGTAGCCTTTGCAGGAGATGTGTGCCAGTTAGTGGAAAAGTAGAACCCACATAGGGCATTTTAGAGGGTGATAATTTCTGTTGAATTACAGTATGGTGTGTYGACAGGAAAGATGGAGAAGTGCAATTACTAGGGATCTAAGGAAACTAGTCTCATACTGCCCTGTGGGCAATGGTTCTCAACTTTCTTGATTTAAAAATCGCTTTACATGTTGCATGAAAAGTGCATGTGTGTAATGAATTTATCAATACTGACAGGTACAACTTCATTGACTTTTTGTTTGATTATGCTGTGACAGAGGAGTTTGTAAGTAACTTTTCTGCCAGCAGCACATCTTCGGGAATTTCTGTTTGATAAATTTAGTGCAGGAAAGGAGAGGACTARTTCAGGAATATTTTCTCAAAAGACTTCTCTTAGGTACTCTGATGTACTCTGTTAAATTGTCTTTCTTTTCTTATTTGCAAGTTAGGTTTTTGTGGGTTTATTCTTTTGAATTTACCTTTGGAGCTTCTGTGTTTATGTACAGAATTAGATTACTAAGGTCAGAAAAACTAGTCCAAGAACTTGTGTAGAGCTGGACGAAATGCTTTTATGTGCTAATGGCATCACTGTTGTAAAACTGTAAATTATCATTCCTAATGCTACAGGGTCTTCTCTTGGAGACTTATGAATCCCATATTGATAAAACACAGTTTGCATTCTGATATGCTGTTTGTTTTCCCATTGTCTTTTGAGGTTGTCTGACTTTTGCCTCTGTTTTAACGCTTCTCAGCAGTCCATCTTGCAGGATTTGCATTCACTTCTGTTCATTTRGATACCATTTACAGCTGGAAATACTAGTTTCCTTTTAAATCACTTGGGACTCTGAGCTATAAATCAGTAAGCTCTTGTCCAGGTACTGCTTTGAGGATGTTTACTGTAGACATTTGCTGCTTCTTGAAGTTACTTGGAACATTATAAACACTGAAGACTTTGCATCRTTGTGCAAAATAATTTATTTTCAACTGTTTGGAAAAAAATGATACATTATATATGTTGCTTCTCTTGCTAGAACCTTGTTCAATTTCAACAGTGTACCCCCACAATAAATAGTCTAAATAAAATAGTCTTCAGATTGCAGTTTGCAGCTTTATCAGCTTTTATGTGACCTTGAAATGTCTGTCTGTATTCGAGTGTGTATTTGAATATTACCTAATGCTTTTGTGTGATTTGAAAATATTTTGTGTCACTCTCTTAAATGTCTTTAAATGTCTTATCATTGTTCTTGATAAAGTGAGTTTGTTATGCACTAACTTGGAAATCAATTCTGCAACACAGAAAACAGAACCTGAGCCAAAATCTTTACTGCTGCAAGATGTTATGAAAGAAGTTGGTGACTTGCAGAAAGGAGACTGAGATAAACAAGCAACTAAAATGTCATGTTGCAGCAGTCTTTAGTCAGAAAACATTCATAGCAATGTTAAAGCAGAGTTTACAGTCTGTGAGTTTTTTGTTGAATATTCCCAGCAAAAAAGAAAAGCAGGAGGAGCTTACTCTTAAGTGATCAGCTCTCATGTTCCAGTCTTTGTAGAACTSCATTATTTGAACAGCAGTGGTGACTGGCTGCTGTGTGCTATAATTGAGGCAAACATCCAGACTTGAGGGCGCTGATAAAGTCAAAGTTGAGGAGAAACAAGGAGAAGAAAGATGGTGTGAAAGCAGAATTTCCAGACTGAAGATAGATGTTCATTTTTGTAGTCCCAGAGCAACTTCCTTTCCAGCCATTTTGCGTGCTATCTACCATGTTAACCCAAATACCCCCTTTTAAAAAGGGGAAATAGTACAGAAATTACAGTGATTATTTCACCACTGATAATTTTCAAACCTTTCTGTATTAGCTCATCCACTTACGTATTTTAAACTGGCATGATGTTGCTGCATAACAGAGCTTTCTTTTGATACGCTTTTTCTTTTTTATTAAATGTTTGCAATAATTATTAAATAATTATTTACACTACCTTTCATAGTGTAGCTTGATGATATGCTCTTGTTGGCAACTCTAGTGACTTTAGGGGTTCCCAACTCTGAGCAGAACATTGTGTGAAAAGAAATGCTTAAGACGACTGAGCTGTGAATAAGGTCAAGGATCCTGCTTAGGGACTTCTTTCCAAAGTGTTGTTTTAAACTGGGTGGGTTCTGTCAGTTCAGTTCAGAAGGTACTTCCCTATACATCATTTACCTGAGCTGATAGGCAGTAGCCCTATTAAAGGAGCAAGAGAGGGAGCAGAAGTTACTTGAYAGTATCGCTGCCCAAGCCAGTATGTTGTTAAACCTTGGCTTCAGTTTCCTCCTACAAAAACRTTTAGTCTCATCTGGTGTTCTGAAAATAGACAGCCTCACTTCAAATAATCTAGAAATAAAACATCTGTGTGAACACTGTTATTTCTGATTCCAGGTTTTTTTTTCTTTCAGCTTGCCCTAATTAAGATGGGATAAGAAACTTACTGATGTTATATGCTGCTTAAATCGTAAAACGGTGGTTTTCAGTTCTCATGTAGCCATGTGGGCTGCCCGTGCTACTCTACCAAAGGAATCCAGTAGCATCTAAAAGCCCTGTTCTTGCCCCAGGGCCTGCTTTGCAATTGCACAGCTGTAGGCCCCTCTGCTTCTCCATGCAGGGGCTGGGACTTAACCTGCTGCCAAAACAATTCCCAGGATGACTTTCAATTGCTGACTTTCCTATGGAAACCTCTCCGTTATAATATAATTGTGTAAATTGTCCCACAGGTTTTATAAACGCATAGGAGAAGTCCCATGTCCTTTCCTTTCAGTTCATATTCCAATTGGTAAGTGAYGTACAGTAATCTTCATGGCTCCATAAGATGACTTACTGTGAGAAGRATGCAAGGAACTAAGAAATGTCCAAGCATTACCAATCAGTTATTTCAAGGCTTTTCTTAGTAACGTGTAGTGGCTCTAGATGTTTCAGAAGCAATTTGTAATGTCAATGTGAAAGAAATCACTAACAATACTTATAGCAAAGAAAAAATAGAAGAAATGTTCCTTTAGAAAAGTATTCTACGGATTCTTGTGTGGCAGGTTCTTTTAAAGAACTGAGGAACACCCAGGTGCATATATTAGCATAGTGAAGGTGATTACCTGTTTCTTTTTTGGGGGTATTTTGAAAAAAATTAAATTAAATTTTTCAAGAGCAGCTCCAGTTTTGCAGGGAACAGTTTGCTGATGTCCTYCTCCCTCCTCCTTTCCTTCTCACTAACATTAGTAGCAGCACAGATGGAAGGGTCCACCTGCATGGATTTTATTGCAGAGTCTGTATCTGTGTGTAAGTATGATTGTTTTCTTTAAAACATTTTAGGAACACAGGGATTTTATGTCACAGAGAAAGTGTCAGGGAATGCTTAGACCATTTCTTAGAGCAATTAGATCAATAGCAGTTCTTTATGTAGAGATTTTGTGTTCCTTCATAAATTAGATTTCTCTCTTCTTTTTCCAGGTGGATGCACGGAGCATACCAGTGTTAGCAAAATGGCAAAATTCATATAGCATTAAAGTTGTACTTCAAGAGCTAAGACGTCTAATGATGTCCAAAGAAAATATGAAGCTTCCACAACCTCCAGAGGGACAAACTTACAATAATTAATTTTAGCTGATTCTCAAACTTCTGTCTTAAAACAACAACCTTCTACTCATGTTAATGTCTTGATTAAATCTCACAATGCAAACACCCACACATTAAAGAATTTCAGCTGGTATACATGACCTGGACATTTGTAAGAATATATATAATATATGTATGCCCAATATGTTTTCAGGCACTATGGGAGAAAAAGGCAGCACAATTTTTTTTCTCTTATTGAGGCACTGTCATTTAAGCATAAGCCTGAAATAGCCTATAATTGGAATTCAGGTTTTACAAGATGAAAGCATGACAGAAAGTGTCAGATTGCTGTGGAATAATATATGTTACTGAAAATAATTTCTGGAGAAGGCAAAATATAAATGGCATGCTTTATCCATCTTGCTTAGTAAAAGAGCTGCAGTTAAATTTGTTTTAAGGTAGCAGGTAAAGTGAATACCGTTGCTCATCTTGTTTAATTTTGCAAGGGTGTGGGTGCCGACTACTAGTAGTGTCACAAAGTATGTTCAGGATTGTTTTGATACCTGTATTTATAAAATGGGGGGATTAATTTCTGTTAAGCAGCTCCTGTGTTACATGTATCGGACATGGCAAATATTTGTTTACAGTCTTTGTTCTAATAAACCATGCATTTAAGTTTTAGTGAAACAAAGGAAATGTATGGATATGTGATTGAGATTAAAGTTAGTCTTAAAATGTAAATAAAATGTGGAAAGTGTCTGAGGCTGTGCCATTTCTATGATAGTCATGTAATATATGTACAATAACTGGCAGAAGTAGTGGAAAGCCAAACATATATTGCTGCTGGTGTTATATGCACCTTTTGTTCCTATCACTTTTGTATGCTTAGTTTACTTGAGAGGTCAAGATTTTCCATGTGTTGCAGGGGAGTAAGTTCTGTCATCTGTAGTATCTTAACTTCTTTAGACAAACTTGCATTCTGTGTGTGTGTGTGTGTGTGTGTGTGTATGAATACATTTTAAGAAAAACCCCAAACACCAAACCAACCTCAAAATAAAAGCAAACAAAAAAACCTTGCCTGCCAACCTTCCATTTAGTTCCCTCCAGATTCTTTTGAGAAATGAGCATAACTTTCAYGCTGCTTACTTGACCTCTAAGCACTTTTCAGACCACATTGCTGAAGTCTGTCCTATTTCTCAGTCCTTTGTCTTGTTTTCTTGCATATTTTCCTCTTTTATGTTACTTGCCTTTTTTTCTTGTCTGCTCCACTTWTGCCTTTTGTGAAACACACAAAAAAGAAACTTCAGGAAGCTTTAGTAAAAATTACACCCTTACTACAAATCATCATATTTCCATCAGCTTTATGTGAATCATTTGCCATGATGCCACYGTGTTCATAGCTAGAAGCTTTTCTSCCTCGCCTGCAGTTTTTAGTCTGTTTTTTCAATGTGTTCTGTCTGCTGGGAAGACTGCTTTTAGTTGTTACTTATTTCTCATAAGCAAGTAGTTAATGGTATTCTTTCRGATATTATGCCTTCTTTCCTTGCCTCCTACCTTGGAGAATGCAAACCTTTGTTCATTTTGGTGAGAATATGTAACATTGGGAGTGAGTCAGCTGTTTGCATTCGAAGTTTTATTTAGTGGTTCATTTGGAAAAGTGGATATAATCAAAAGCCATCAACAGCTAGGTAACTTTTCTTTGATRAGCCTTTGCCTGTTTCTGATGTAAACAATGAACCTTTAAAAGCAATAAACTAGGTGTTCTTTTTTTTAATGGACAGGTTTAATTGATATTCATCAATTTATGTTTTTTAGACAAATTGGACACTTCCAGAATTGGTGGATTTATAGCTGCCAGCTACCTCGTGTCTGTATTTATATAACATATCATTTATGATGGTTTGGCTGAAGTGCGTTGCAACATTTTTTTCCCTTGATTTGAATTATTTCAATGCCATTAAATCCTTTTTCTTATGCTAACACTGCTAATCTATATTTAATCAATTAAAATAATGGAACTGTACGGTTCTCAGATGTGAATTATTTTTGGGAAGATTTCAACATAAACTATTGAGAGAATGCTTGCAGACAATTATATCGGTGGTACCAATTTAAGAGACTGGCTTATTCACAGAGGATCAAGAAGGGCCTGTTGTTTGTGTATTGTGTGTGGTGCAAGGTGATCCTGTGATAGTGTATCCATTSGTATCACTGAGAATCTGCATATCCAGCTGTAAGGAGATACGTTTTGCAGAAGAAAGATTCGGTGCTGGAAGGAGTTGATCTGATCTCTGACACTGGAGTATGTAATACGTGGATGACTATAAAAATATTCCTGTGGTGATCTTAGGTGTGTTGGTTTTCCATTTTGCTCACACTGGGACAAGTCTGAAGTGTAATTAATTATGAAACTTTAAAATGTCTTCAGCTACTGCTTAAAGTTGAGAGCCTCCTCGAAACTCTTCTATCTGAAGAAGATTTTGAAGCWCTGTGCTTACTCTCCTTCAGAAAGGTTTTGTTGTTTTGCAGGTATCTATGTCTGATCAGTGTTTACTTCAAATTTGCTTTCTCATATTCTTATGGTCTCTCTTAGGTAACCTGCTTAGATGACTGAATTTTAATTTTGCTCTCGTGAGTATTCAATTTGTGTTACATTCTTTTGGCAAAATTTGAATTTGCCATTGTTGTGAAATGTGTACTTTTTTCTTTCCAAACCCATGTTTGAACATTTTGCAAAGCAGAGCACCATTTGAGGCCTATTGAATGAGGGACAAAGTGGAAAAGCTCTAAATATATAATTATTTTCATGTTGGTGGTCATTGGCTAGGATTTAAACTAGCTTTTTGCTTTGAAGCGTTGCCAAAGTTCTTGTGTTTTGGTTGTTCGAGGCAGGGATACATTTTCTAYGAAGCAAAGAAAAAAAGCCAAAGATGGTATGATTTATACTTTGTTAAACCTTCAGATACAATGAGCAAGCCTATGGAAATAGCCGCATTACAAATGATGTGCCTTACTCTGAGATAATAAAGTGCAGAAAATGTTGCAAGTGTGAACCTACCAACGGCCTTGATTGCTCTCCTCTTCCTGAAGCGAGCTGAGAATACTTTTYACCAAGCAAGACAGAGTCAGCAATGAATCCCTCAACTATTATCAAATAAATGCATAGTGCACATTCCTCCTAAATATTTGTTACTGTATAGGGGATGCATGAAGATAAATTCTAGTGCATATTATGGCAGTTGATCAACTATAATGATAAAAACTATAATTTAGACAATTGTTTGTGTTTTACATGGTTACTTATATGATGAGTTTGTGGAGGTATATTTCCTATTTAGTAGCTTTTGGGACAATAACTCAAACCCTAAAAATATTTGTTACTCTTCTCTTAACACAATCTTTTCATGCAGAAGGCACACTTTGTGGGCCACCAGATAATTGTCCTGTGGCAGAGGCAGGATGTGTGACTACTACTTGCTTTAATTCTGGTCTCTATGAAAACTCAGCTAGATTGCCCTGCTGTGGCTAGTTTCAGCTGCTAGAGGAGGAGTAATTTGGTACTAAGTAAGTCTGATTATGTGTTACTGTACCAAAGAAAGATGACTTAAAACTATTGTTGGTCTTTTATGTAAGTAAAATTCCAGATAGATGTAAAGCAGTGGGACAAAATACGTTTTTCATCAATGTTTCTAAATAATGTGTTCAGACTCTTTTTGTGAAGCCYTGAATGATTTCTGAGGTGTGGAGGTGTTGGAGGAACGTGAATGTCTGTAGTATTTATTAAATAATAATGATAATAAATTAAAAAAAAAAAAAAAAGCTTTAAAATTTGTTAATCCATCTGTGTTAACTCTCTCTCTGTTGAAACAGTTGTGGGAGATTGTTTCAGGGGATAAGGCAATCAGTAGAAGAAGAACAGAAAAAAMCATGTGCAGTACCTTTCTGTTGCAGACCCAACTTATCATGGGCTAAAATATGAAGGATGTAATGCTGGAAGTATAAAAATAACATACTTGATGCTTTAAAAAAATCCCCACAAATAACTTCTCACATTGCCATACTGTTACCACTGTAGTGGTTTGTAATTTTGTTGGGTTTTTTTCTTTAATTTTTATTAAATGGCTGTATACTTTCAGCTCAATTTGTAAACAGCTGTAAGTTTATGTGCGGTAAACTCTGGTCTTTAAAATGCACATCATAAGCCAACTCTCAAGTAGCTTTTCCGTGTTCAAGCAGTTCCATAAAGCTTTTCAGTTTTTACCATTTTAAAATAGTGATAAATATAAAAAAAACCTTTTTATTATTTGAGTGAAAAACTGTATAAATGGATAATTTAATGGAAGATGTTGAGATRATGCACATGTAACTAGTGTCTTTGTAAGATTTGTATTTTCTATRCTTATTTATGACTTTTCACCATTTCTTAGCAGCAGCATCCCAACCTTCTSCTTTTAATATAAGCAGAATGGATAAAATGTAAACATGATTTTACAATCTATAAACTATGTAGTTTGGGTTAGAAAACCCCAAACTATATTTGTTAAATCAGAAATACTGAAGGAATGTCTGTGCAGTCATGCTATGAAGAAGGTWTTCTGAAGCTGATTTGTTCTTGTTCCCACTCTGCTCCTTGCTGATAGTTACGGATGTGTAGGTACGCTGATTTAACACATTGGCTGTTTTAATTATTATTGCTATTGTATCCTATTATTATTATTTTTAAGCATGTGGGAATGAGAAGGAAAAGGGGGAAGTGTTTGATTTCCCTCTGCAATTTTTACTAAAAAAATCAAGAAGAATCCTGGTAAACACATMATTTACTGACTTGACTTGAAAGTAGCTCATGAAGAATTTTCTGTATTTTTCCATTTGTCATAGAAATAGAAGCTGTTTCAATTAGGATGAGAGCAGCTCAAACAGTAGAACTGTGAAGTTRTCATGGAAGAGGGTGTTTCTAGCAGATCTCCCAGCATCATGAAAATTGGGTTAATAAGCGAGAGACAATTCAGTTTTGCAGAATGGCTGTGGGAAGCAATGTAGTGTTTGGAACTTCTTGAAGTCAGCCTGACAGGATTTAACCCAATTCTCTATCTCTTACACTTTTTTTGATATAGAATATTCCTGCATTTACAATTGTTAAAACATTCTGGTGAAGGACAGCAGGTTGAGATTAGTTCGTTTCTCTTAAGTTTTGGCAAAACTTCCCACCATGAGGAGCTGTGTGAACCAAAMGCATGGAAGTGTCTGGTGGTGGCAGCTGGCTCTTTAGTTCCCACATTAATCTAAGTGGCTGGTGGTCAGCAAGTTTGGGTTTAAATGTGTGCATGTAGTTAATAAGAGTCAATACTATTACTGGAAAAAGTCGATACTATTACTGAGAAAAGTCTGTACTAAGAGCTCTGCTTTTGTAATMGTATCAGGCAAATTGCCAGCAGCACTGACCTTTTCTGGCCATCAGATTCCACCASTGTTTGTTGTTTGCTCGACTGCAGTTTTGGGAGAGAGCATTATTTCCCATCTTCGGGAGGTATGTTGTGCTTTGAACTCTGGGACTGTTTGCTTCTGAGAATTCTAAAATAACTCCTTACCACARCATCACAATTTGAGGATTTGTGGAGATGGTCATAGTCATCCTGAGTTGTGTTTTCTGAAACGATTTCCTGTCATATGTACATTTTTTTCTGTCTGAAGATTTGCAGGTTAAATATACTGTATCATATGGTACTACTAACCTCTTACATTATGTGAGATCTATTACAGCCTTATCAGAAAATGTTTCAGCATCTATGTCCTTCCAGTTAGCATCATATGTGTGAGTCGTGACATTTATAGGAAAATTTTCATGCTATGTTAGTGCTGTACGTTCATTCCTTAAATTAAATGCTGTAACTTTGAAATACTAGAATAATATKAAAGTTGATAGCCATGACGTTTCTAGTTGCCAATGTCTTAATATCTCTGTTCAATGACTGTGATAATTATTTGCTTCCTTGAGCTGTCATTCAGATTRTGCATTAAACACTCATTATTTGAAGACTTTGAGTGTCACCTCAATTAGTAGTGTAATGGTTTTTGATCTTTGGAGTGGGATGCTGTGGATAGAGTATGGCTTTGGGAGCTCTTCATTCTACCACCCTGCATTCAATTTGTTGAAAAATATATTCTGAACTGTTCATGTTCCTTAGAGTAAAAACTATTTCTTTTGGCATTTCAAGGACTCTTCACTTTCAGCTTCAGTTTTGTTTGGAATTGGTGTGTTACTCATGCAGTGTTAGCAATGTTAACTGTCAATCTCTAATCCTTTATTGTATTTTTGTGATTTTATGATYCTATAATACCTGTGTGATTCTAGTATTAAAACTGAGGGCAACAAGAGTGGTGCACTGCTTTACTTGACTGATGGACAAATCACATGTGCTGCACTAAATGAGCCTGTAGCTGAAGACAGAAGGGCAAGAGAGGGAAGAAATTAATATGATTTCAGTATATACAACTCCTGACACCATTCAAAAAGTACATGGTTCTCAGTCTGCTTAAAACTGAGGGCGAACCAAGTATTTGCCTGTTTTTTTACATGYTTGCCACTACACAGTTAAAATTACATGATATAGCTATCTAGATAGAGGAGTGGCCAGTAATTTTTGCTCAGGTAGGAGAGGTTTAGTACAACCATAGCAAGAATTAGAGTTCTGTGGTAGRTGCYTTTATGTGTAATAGCTGGAATCTGKTTTATGTCTGTACTATTTAAAGAAAAGTGGCAAAATGTTTTAATATTAAATTCAGGCTGTATCTCTGCTGCCATTTGATGGGTAGTTCTTATCTGCTCTGGCTTCTAATTTAGGCACCTCTTATTTTGTATTTGCATAGTTGGGGTTATTCCATCCTTGTCTTTCAAGGATAAAGAACATGTGTGTTGCATGCGTGCACATACTCTTATCTTTACAAAACATTTAGGCAAATAAAATTGTGTTGTTCCTTCTTCCAGGTTGTTTGAGAGAGGAGTTCGATGGGCTAGCCCTAAACTTGATATTGGAATGGCCAGCTGCTGATGCGTGGTAGCTGCATTTCTGCTGTACAGCACACCTCACCTGCCATCCAGATCACCAAGAAGCACAGGTCCAATCCTTTGCTGATCTTTCTTGTTTCAAGGGAGCTATTTTCCAGGTCCTAACTGGAGGCAGCCTGGCTCAGCCTGCTTATGTTTACCAAGGAAGAGAGAGCTGTGTTGGTGTCTGCCCTCCCTCCTTGTTCTGCCATCGCCCTTCTGCRAGGAGTCCCATGGCCTGCATGGAAGGTGCTTGGGAGTGGAACAGGGACAAAGGGGGTCTTGGCAGCTTAAAAGCATGATTTTTCCTCACACTGGCCCTTCAGAACTCTTTCCTAACTGAGTGTAATTCAATTTATAACTTTACTCCTCTAAGCATTTATGCGAAGAAGTGTGTAGCTAGCTTTTAAGTGGTGATGAACACAAGATTCCTTCTTTCCCCCCTTGTCTCCAAAGGAGCCATTTCCAGTTAGGCTGTGATGAGGTAAGGACACCTCTAARCCAGGTAGAAAGCCTTACAGAAGTCAGAAATTAGTGAAAAACCTGGGAACTGGTTKCAGCCTGGATTATCGTTTCCTCATGTGGGTGGAGGCATATAATCTTCCAGTACTGAGAAGGTATTTTTTCATCATTGCCTCTGRTTTCCTTTATCCATGGCAAAACTTGAGTTTTGAAAGCTCTTGAATAAGCAGAAAGATTCTTGTGTGATGTTTGGAGATAAAAGCATTGCAGAAAGCAGGGCAGACTTTACAGCTTATGCAACTTTACAGAACTGAAAATATACCATCTGAATTACTTTACAGAAGAAAGATGAAGACTCATGTTCTGCACTGGGAGGTGTTTGTGTAAATATGTGTATATGGGGGAGTGTATGTAACAATGGCAGCCAAAATGCATAGGTTTTGGGTCAAATTCTTAGAGGCTGATTAAGCAGTATTCCTAGCACAGGAATTTCTGGTGCAGAAGTTTTTACAAACCCAGTCGGTATTTGCCTTCATGTCTCTTAGTCTTCAGGTTTCATTGTAAATGAACAAAGCTCTGTATGTGTATGTGTTTTGTAAGGCCTTGTCTGTCTTCYGGAGAGTTGTCTCAACTCCTGCATYTCGGAGATCCAGCAATACTCCTGCTGCAATCTCAAATTTTTCTTTGTTTTTCACCACCCAGCTTTTTGATCCTGACCATCTGTGCACTTCTCAGAGGTGTGTGACATGTATTTCAGATAAGTGAATGTACTGGTAGGTTGAAGTTAAATATAGAGAAGTCTATGGGGAAAAACTAATTAGGACTCAAAGTTTGGAACCACGTTCTTACTCTGTTTTGGTTTTTAAAGTCTGCACAAGTGCGTGATAGTGAGAATTTGCAGTACAACTGAGCCACTGCCTCAGAGACTGACTGATGGTAGTTGGCAGCTTTGGTTTTCTGGCACAGCAAAGGCAAATGCTCTTACAGGTGGGAATGATATTCCTGTTTGGGGAAAACCAGCCATCCTTGTTTAGAGTCATTGTGACATGGAATGAGGAATATCTGTATTGTCTGTGAGCAGTGTGACTTGGCTTCACCTATTTCCCCTGGAAATAGTTTTACTTAAAATGTTCCTCCCCTCCACCCCCCTCTGTATTGTTCAGTGGATTTTATATTTTTGTTTATGCTGCAATCTTTGTAATACCCAGATCTAYTCACATATACCATCGGGTCTAACACAACTAGAAAATGACATCATGCAAATTCCCATGTTCCAGAAATAAATGGGCTARATGGGGACCTTGGGATAGCCAGTGTGGCATCCCTGAATGAAACAGTGGTGGGGTTCCAACCAGGAGTTCTGCTCAGGTGCCTGCTTTTCTTGCCTGGGTTCTGTTTCCTTTTGCTCATTTTAAACTTTGAACAGGACTAATTAAGCCTAACTTTTGTGCAAGCAGGAATTAGCAGTCTAATCTCAAAAAATTTTGTTCTTAAGCACAGAACTTAAGGTCTGAGCTTCTGTTTGTGAGGTACTTACYACACTTTACATTGGGAGGGTACATAATCAGTAAGACTTCTATTGTTACTTAATTCACCTTTGACTGGAGGGATTTAATTGGTCACAAAATGTGTATTTGTTGTCAGATAACTTCAATGTGGATGCATTGGGGGCATATGCATTTATTTCCCTGTATCTGTAAGGAAAGTAACATTAACTTTGCTAATGCATTTACTGTTGCTCATAGGTACAGTTTCCAGCAACAACTATTTTCTGCGATCTTTGATTTCTACCTAGATCAATTATCTTTAACTCATTCTCTTTTTTGTCAGATTGATTGTTGGCAGGTCTGCAATTTGCATAGTACTTTTGAAATCTCTAGAATTAAATGCCTGACTGAGCTGGCAAAAAAAAAAACCCTGTCATGGTGTAAGAAATTGGACTTAGGCCATTGCTATATCCTGACATGGATGTGCTCCCCTGCCCTGGGCAGTATATCCTTCATGRCATGTGTTTTTACATTTGAGAAGTGTGAGTAGTGGTCAAAAGACTTTATTTAGGTCCAAAAGGCTTTATTTTGGATAATTTGCATGTGGCTTGTGTAAAGAACTTTTATTCTGTTTTGCCCTATAGTACTCACTGATTGACAGCCATGAACTACTTATGTTTCTTCATTCCCTGGAAAAGAGAAGAAAGGGGTGAACCAGTACCTGAAGGAAACCTACAAGAAAAATGGAGAGAGACTATTTACAAGAGCATGCAGTTACAGGATGAGGGGGAATGGATTCAAATTGACAGTGTMGGTTTAGATTAGCTACTAGGAAGGAATTTTTCACCGTGAGGGKGGTGAGGCACTGGAACAGGTTGTCCAGAGAAGTTGCAGGGGCCCTGTCCCTGGAAGKGCTCGAGGCCAGGTTGGATGGGGCTTGGAGAAACCTGATCTAGTGGAAGGTAGAGGGGCTGCCTCTAGATGGTATTTAAGGTCCCTTCCAACATTCTAGGATTATTTGAGATGAGACCTTGCCAAATTGGTCCAAATTCCAGTTAGTGGAGAGCAGCAGAAATCCTTTTGAATTTGTACCAAATTCTTTGGTAACCAAAGTTCACCCCTTGGGGGTGGCAAACACTCAGCATGCTGCTGCATTTGATTCTTGGTAAATATTTGACATGCATCGAGTCTTTCTCTCCTTTGAGCTGCCAGCTTGCAAGCTGCCTTGGGAAAAAACATCCATGCTGTATTATCTTTGGTAGAGAGAACACCTGTTAGCCATGAGAGTTTAGATTATTTGCCTTCACACAACAAGAGAAAAATGTACAGGTAAACTTACCTTAAATAGTGTTAAGTTGCTTCTAATGCTATATGTAATTTGGAGACTCCAGAGAGATGCCTGATAGCAGAAGGAATTAAGAAAATGTTATTGTTTCTGTACACAGGAAAATATTTTCAATGAAAAAGGGGACCAATGGATTCAAAACATATTTTGTGTTTATGTCTTTGCTCTTCACAAATTATTGACTATGCAAAAAAGAATTAAGTTATTAATTTCTTGATGTATACAACTGAAAACGAAGAGACTTTGCAGAATTTTGGGGGAATGTTCTCTCACTGAGACTTCTTGAAATTAGTTGTAATTAATTTTAAAATTACAATTAATTTTTAGAATTGCTATTAAAAAGTAATTAACTTTTAATTTTTTCCTCTTGGCGTAATCTGCAGGAACCGTGGTGTTTGAATCTCAGTAGGCCTGCACTAGTCCTAGATAACACTGGAAATAAATYGTCATTATTGTTGGTGCACTGTTATTATTTGAAGTGTAAGTTTAGGAAAGACAAACTGGAAGTGAACGTTTGCACATTTACATGATGGGTGCTCAGTGCATTTGCAGTTGAAAGAAACGGGGGTTTACTTTGAAATGTGTTCAGAGTGCTCTACCAAATGCTTAATTACTGGGTCAYGTGATTGATTCTGATATGACATCAAGCAGTTGGCATCTGAGAGCAGACTGCACTGATACTTGTMTATTAAAAAACCTCAAATCCAAAACCAAAAAAATCCAATTTCCTGTGTTCCCTACCCAGATGAAAATGGCTTTCACCTGAAAGTAGACCTTTGTTAAATGTACACCTTTAAAAGAGATATTGGCAAGAGCAGCCTGTTGTTCAGGCAGTCACAGTTGATAATCAAAATACCCTAAAAATGGAATTTGTGTGTTTGTGAGAGCAGCATGGCAAATAATCCTATGTAATGGTCTGAGAAGTGTCTCCCTGTTTCTAGAACAGAGCAGGATCGATGGCTGCTTATGGGGCTAATCAGAACAGCAATGAGGGTGCTGGGGTTTTTGATTCATCAGATAATTAACTCTCATCAGACTGAAATGGAACCCGGTGGAAAATCACCTGCAGGTGAGCAAGAGGAAGAATGATTGATATTTTGTGTGTTTATTAGAAAAACCACAGTGCCAAGTTTTAACTGCCTGAAGGTGCTGCCTTCGAGGTGGGCGTGGAGATCAGATCCCCTGCGRTCCTTTGTGTGCACATGCATTGGTGTTTTCTCCAACTTAGCACAGTTTAATATCTGATTTTTTTTCCTGTTATGGGATTGATGAAAACARTCTTTAATATACTGTGGCTGCCTTCTTTCTCCTTGTATGCCAGAGGCACGTGCTGCTTTGGATATGGGAGATATTAACTTTCATTAAGGTACTCAGTGAGTGAGTACCTGGTATCAAACATGTTATTTCTTTTTATGTCTGGGGCAGCTATATTTTCAGTAATATATTATTGTGGAATTATTAATTTGTCCTAGATGGCTGTCATTATCTCTGTGACAATTGGAATGGTGGTGGTAAAAATCACAGAGTGGCTAAATCCAATGTAAACATTCAGGCATCTCTGACCCTGACTTACCTGTAGGAAGAAGGTGGTAAAATTTTCACTTGGATTGTGTTATCTGTGGTAGATTAAATATTGAAGAGATTCTTGTGAGAAGGGGTTTTGAGYTTTGGTCCAGCTGAATCCTGGCAAGGGAGGATCAGGAATCCTGTCAGCTGGACCTGGGAGGAGCCACATGTAGTGATGTTGTGGATGTCTGCTGGAAACTGAAGAATTAGACAAAACTGACTTCAAATATTTGGAAGAAGTCTTGTGGTCACTGGTCCAGATCCTTGTGGGAGTCTAGCCAAGCACCCCAGTGTCTGTGRGAGAGACAAMACAGCARGGCACAAGCAATCCACAGGGTTTCTGGAGTTCRAAAACAACTTCCTGAGAGATGATCAAGAAGCAAATGAGGGGATGTACTCTGCTGGACCTTGTACTTGCTGAGAGGGAAAGACTGATCCAGGGGTGAGGGCAGCAGTAACTATGGGATTGGGGTGTACGGGATCCTGAGATGAGGGGGGAAAAACAAAGGACTGGACTTCAGGAGAGCACTTTGGTCTGTTCAGGGATCYGCTTGGAAGAATCCCAGAGGACATCATCCTTGAGAGAGTTGGGATCCAAGAGGGCTGATTGGTTTTCAGGGGTTATCTCATCTGTGGTGAAGAACAGTCCATTCCAATGAGCAAAACTTAGCAGGAAGCTCCACACAGAACCCAAACATAAAAAGGAAGGAAGCACAGATGACCTGGAAGCAGGGACRGGTGACCCAGGAGGAATAYAGAGCCACTGTCTGAGTRTGCAGAGATGGGGTTAGGAAATCCAAAATGCACCAGGAGTTGAATCTGACAAGGTATGTTGGAGAGCAACAAAAAAAGGAAATGCCTACAGGAACATCAGAATGTTCAGGAATCCAGGTGAGTAAGAAAAACATTTGTTGTTGAACTGGGTAGAAGACTTGGTGACAAATGACTTTGAAAGGCCGAGGTACTCAATGCCTTCTCTGAGGGAGCTGGCTGGTGTCACAGTGAGGTCACTCACACTCACAATTATCTTTGAAAGGTCATGACCATTGAAGAGAGGATCCTGAGGACTGGAGGAAGCCAATGCCACTCCTGTGTTCAAGAAGAGCAACAAGAAGGATCCAGGGAACTACAGGCCAGTCAATCCCATCCTTTGCCTGGGATGGTGATGGGGTCAATAATCCTGGTAACCATTTCTGGCTGTWTAGCTGTACGAAGGATAAGAAGGTGCCTGGGAATAGTCAGCGTGGATTTATAGTGGGCAACAACCTTCCACAATGGCATGACTGGAATGGGGGATGTTCTTTTTTCAGCTTTAGCAAGACTTTCGTCGCTGTCCGCCACAGCAGTCTCATACACAAGCTGCTGGTGTATGGATAAGGTGTTTGGACAGCGAGGTAGATTTACCTGGCAGAGCTGCTGGGCTCAAAGCATTATTATCAGTGGCATGAAGTCCAGCCAGAGGCTGGTCCTCATGGGTATACCCCAGGGATAAGTCCTGGGGTCAAATACTGTTGGATATTTTCACTAATGATCAGGATGATGGAACAATGTCGTGGTGCACCCCTGGCTAACTTGCAGACAAAAGTAAAAATGGAAGGAAGCAGTGCTTGATAGACCACAAGTGTGGGGCCAACAGCCTCCTGCGCTGCATTCAGTGTTATCAGCAGGCTGAAGGGAGTAATCCTTCCCCTCTCTTCAGCACTGGGGAGGCCACACCTGSAGTGCTGGGTCCAGTTCTGAGCTCTCCAGGGCAATGTATTCAGTGGAATCAAGATAATGGAATAATACTGCCCACTGCTGAAGGACAGACCTCAATCACTTCATGGAAATGCAATGAGAGAATTATTCTGCAGAACAGATGGGAGCTGAATATATCAGAGGAAATATTAAAAAAATGAACAAGTTTAGGTTTTCCATTAGGAAAGCATATATAATCCTCTTAGGATATTATTTCCCTGGGTTTTTTTATATACAAACTATGTGTAAGTTTATAACATATATAAACAGTGGATAAATACACATGCAAATGTGTATATATGCATTTGTATGTATATACAAGCATGTGTGTATATATACACACCAAAGTATATGTAAATAATACATGGAAAGAACCCACACTTTGACTCCAGGTCATCACAACAACTGTTACACACACTGCTGCTCCTGTTGTGTTATAAAATCTGTCCTATTCTGATGATAATACAGAGGGACAGGAGGTAAGCTCTGACATCAGTACAAACATGTCATTCCTGTCTGGGAAGATCTTCCCATCTAAACACCTCCTTCGGCCACAGATGAGCAAAACTCCTTTTTTTTGTGCGCTTTGCTTTGCTGTTTGGCTGTGCTGCATGATGTCTTTAGAAAACACTTGGTGGCCATGCTGCTGGATAGGCTGTGACACTGTGACCTCAAAAATGCCAGGGATGGGCTTGACCTGCACCCACAGCTGAGCCCTGTGGAAGGCAGTGAAGCACGTGGGAGTTGTGGAGCTCTGAAGACAGCATGGTCATGGTCAGCCCAAACACAAACAAACCAACCAAAAACCCAGGGTGACCAAAATATGTGTTTTGAAAGTGAGAATGGCTAGCATGAGAGATGTCCTTCTGGTTAAAACAAAGCAGGAAACAGCTTGTTCATGTATATTCTGTCTGCTAATAATAGCAGCAAATTCATGAAGGTAATTACTGATCCGAGACTTGGAAGGCTCCATTCAGGCAAAATGCCTGAAGACATCAGATAGTGGTTCTTTGTGCTTATTCTTAGAGTCCTTGAACCCTGCTTCTGACCTGAAAAGGGYCTTGATGAGTAACAGCATTTCCTTTACAGTGTTTTTTAGAGAGGGGCAAGAAGTCCTGGAAAAAAGCCCTATGCCYTGACTCTGAAAGTCATCATTCACCTTACCCTTATTTACTCCCTTCCTTTATTCCCTTCCAAGAGCCTGTGCTGCTTGTTTTGGTTTTTCACTATCATGCACCTTCTGCCTGCAGGGATCTGTAGTACAAAGGATTGACTGAAAAGCAGGACCTGGTCTGTGGGTGCTTCTGTCTGGGCTGRTGGTTCTGTCTTTGGGTTCTGTGCTGGTGAGTGTTAGGTCTCCTATGCAACAAGTCAATAACACTGTGATGAACCAAATCTCTAACTCTTCCACATACTGCTTGTTACAGTATTTTGTTAAAAAAAAATAGACTCAATTACACAACCCCATTGGAGAGGTCTTTCTTGGCCTTCAGCCTAAACCTGGATTCCACCACCCATAAATTGTATAAAAGTGTCTGGGGTGAAATCAGTGGTGGTGACGATGCAATTTACACTTAGCATGTGGTGTTTATAAAATAAATACAAGTGGCAGCTGGTATAACTCATGAAAACTCAGTGTTTGGAAGGGGCCTAAGCCAAAGACCATCAGTCCATATAAAAGTTCCTGTTGGTTTTAGATTGATCATTTAGCTGTGCTATGTGGGTACTGCATGTGGCCCAGGTTAGTATTTTATGAGGCACCAAAGCTAAAACATTGAGCCTTTCTGTCATTTACTATCCTTCTGTGTTCAATTTAATTATAGACAGGCAATTAACAGCAGAGGTGAGAGAAAAAGTGAATGTTTTACTAGACTTACCCCGAAATCCAGCAATAGTAGGATAAAGGGGGTTTGCTGTTACACGTGCAATAACCGGCCAGGTTGAAGCTTTCTAAAGACAGAATTGACTGGACAAATTGCAGAGATTCACATGTACACCCTGCCCCACAGCCAGCCTGTGCAAACATGAGGGGCTGATGGGCATCAGGAAGGAGGCTGGGGGCTGGGACATGGGCCCTTGTCAGTTGTTTTCCTGTGACAAGRGCAGTCCTCTCTTTCCTGCCWGAAATGCCYCACACTGGGCACAGCCACTTGTGACAATGCAGGGAACAGAGTACATGGACTCCTTCTCAGCTGGTTTGAAGAAATACCATAATAATAATAAAGATAATTATAAATATATATTAAATAAAAAAATAAAAATAAATAAATAAAGAAGAAATCTTTCTTTTCAAAAGCTGTGCCTTTTTACACTTTAATTTTCCCGGGCTAAATACCTATTGGCTGTTTTCAGGGTCACCACCCACAAACCTTCTTATCCAATCAYATCTCTGGATGGGCGGTGTCCATGGGCTCTGCTAACCAATCACAGCTTGACACACAAGGCAGGGTCATGTCAATCACAGACTCATGTCCCACAGCTCAAACCTTGCCCAAACCGTAAGAATAAATCCCAATATTTTCCTCACTCATTAGCCCCAGTATGTGTACAGTAACACTGTCAGGAGCTTGAATTTTTGTGCATCACCAGAAGTTATATGTTTGTGTTATGTGGTAATTGTGGGAAAGTTTGTGACCAGAGCAAGGTGAGGATTACACCAAAAAACACATCCAACAGATGCACAGAACATATCAACACCCAATAATTGTTGACTCTTTTTTTTTTTTTTTTCTTTTTCTTTCCTCTTTGCAGTTCTTTTGCCCAGCAGCTTCATCGTCTGGCTTGCCAGAAATCATTGGATATTTGAATGGCATTTCTATTCAACATCTTTTTAACATCAAGGTGTTTTTAGGCACRTTTGTCTCATGTATCCTCGCTGTAGCTTATGGGCCAGAAGGTCCCACAATTCATTTGGGGTGAGAAATGGCAGAGAGTGATAAAGTTATGGGGCTGAGGGTATGGCTTTGCAACATCTGTCTGGTGGCAGCACTGCCTTAAAAAATACCCTGCATTGGGACCTCTTTTCACCCGTGCTGTTCCGCACCCCTTTTGCATTAGCACAACTATTCGTGCCATGCAGTGAAGGAAAGGATTTGTTTKCTGCATGTTTTAAATCCTGGCTTTATTCCCTAGCATGATTCCTTGAGCAATGGTCAGCGATGCAGTTATCTGGACAACTTCAGTCATCCTTGCTTCTGAAAATCCACCTGCCACGCAGCCATGGCCTGCTGGCTGCTTGATATCTCGTGTGACTGCTTCTACCTGTGCAAAGTCTGTGTGAAAATAAAGGCAGTCTCAGGTGGATTCACACAACGGGGAGAGTAATTTCACCATGTGAAAAGTGCTCTAGGTGGCTGTGCACGGCACAGACTGATGGGGTCTGCGTTTCCAGCTTGGCACCAGGTGCAGGTGGCAGGTTTCTTGTTTATGCAGGAGTGTTACACAATGTTTCTAGGAGGGGAAAAGTAGACTTTGTAGTGTTTTTGAAGGATAGTGTTTATATGCCTTCATTTTCCCTGCAAAGGAAGGGAATCCCCATCACCCTTTTGCTGTCCTGGGCCTTGTGAGGGGGGTGGAATAGGCTTGCCCTGTCCTCCTCTGTAGGTAGAGAGGATTTTAAAATTTACTATGTTGAAATAAAACCAAACTTGGTAACTGCAGGCCAGATTTTGGGGTTCTTTGTTTGTTTTGGAAAGTGGCATAATTTGCTTTATTCTTAATTTAGAGGAGAATCCTGCTGCACTTTATTATCTATCCAGAACCATATCTTGAATAGAATGGTAAAATTGGTCTCTGCTAATAGGATATAGATTGTTTGTTGACTGTTTTGCTGTTTTATTTCTGATCCTTTTTGGGTTTGGAAAGTATTCATCCTTGAGGTTTGTTCTCCCCTCTTCACCACCCTGACTGGACATGTCTTCCTCCCCACCAACCATTCACATTTTCTGTTGCCCTGTGGGTTTGYATTTATTTATTTATTTGCACAGAGGTGCAGCACCCTAGGGGATGACTCAGATGTTCAAAAATAGGAGCACATGGTTAGTCAGAGGTGGCCACAAACCTTCCAGACAATGMTTCCCAAGGGTTAGCTCTCCCTCTGGGTTTCTGTTGTTTTCTTTGCTTTCAGACATTTGTCTCCAGGAGCTCAGAGACTGCAGCTGTGATTTCTTTTTTTTCCTTTGTGCTGGGTTGGTAACAGCGATTTGTGAGCCAAAGAGTTGAATCATATTTCCATGAATAAAGTCATCACAGTATCAACGTGATGCCTTTTCAAAACATAGGAATTAAGAGCTAGTTTAATTTAATTTAGTTGGAACCCTCCACCATTTTTATTAAACATAAACACACGTAAGTTGCTAAAAGCCTCCGAGAGATTTATTAAGGCTCCTAATTTAAGTCTTGTAGAAAAGTCTTCCAAGATTATACAATGAATATATTTTTCATTCCACTAAGGGTTTGGATTTTTTTTTCTTTCCCCATTTAAATGTAATTTGAAGTGCTGCCTGGGAACACACTGTAATAATTTAAATCATCACACATCTTCTGTTAGAAGTGGTGCTGTTCTGGCTGCCATGGTTGTTAACCTGGGAATAGATGATTGAAATGACGGGCTCTAGTCTGATGTGTCACCACACTTGGGCAGACATTAACATGCAATTCTTCAAAGGCATTTCATGGACTGCCATCATAACACTCTTTGCAAAACAGACATTTAAGTCTCTGCGTCAAGAGCCTGAAAGTCTTTAGTAGCTCCCTCCTTTATGTCAATGGGACTTTGCATATTTAAAAGACATGTGTTCAGCATTCTCCATGTTTAAATCTTCATTGAATCATGTTGAAACCAACGTGGGTTTGCTGCTGCACGCCAGCTAAGGCTCTGTCCTCCTCTGCCTTGAACTGATTTATGAATTATTTACCAAAGAGTGCTCTCAATTATACAACATCACTTTTAGTGCTCTCCTGGGTCCTGGCCTGAGCCAGCTGCAGTTGGACATCACTGGCATCCATCTCCCAGTCTTCACCAGGATCTGGAATTCAGTTGATAAGTGATGGGCAGTGATGTGGGGCTCTGTGAGGGCCCCCCCTGCCACTGCCCTCGATGCCCCAGGGGTGTCTGGTGAGTCACTGGTGAGCCCATTGCATTTGGAAAGGAAACCCATTGCTGGATTGCACCAGCAATCTCTCAGCATTCCTGCCATTTGTCACTTTGAAATGGGGAAAAAGCCACCCACTCTAATTAAAAGAAAGTTGTTTAATTAAACAACTTTAAAGTTCTTTAATTAAAAGAAACTTCACAAGTTGTTTAGTACATTAATACAGAAGGCCTTTTCTCATTCCTTTCTGGGTTATATAAGGAGGGAGAAAAATACAGGATTTTTACACATGGACTTCATCCTTAAATTAATGATACTGTCCCAGGAGAAAAGAGGTTATGGGGATTGCCCAGTATGCACAGGGGGTCTTTGCTTTATTTTTTGAGTTTTGAAAAAGTAAATTGTTTGTGACACTTTTTTAGTCTGGCTCTTCTCTGCTCTTGTGTGTCTGAGATAATGCTGGTAAACTCTCTCTTGTGAACAGTTCTACTGAAATTAATGAGATTAGTTTCCAGGAAAAGAAACTGCAACCACCTTATGTCTTCTGGATGCTGTTTATTGTGATGTTGACATACAAAACCATGTTTGGTTTTTTAAAGTGAGGATAAAAAAAAATAAAGAATCCTGTTTGTAAATTTCCTAAAGAAATAGAATTCAAATGAGCAGCCACATGTGAACCATCTGTAGCTTTAAAGTAAATAAAAAAGAATCAAAGGGGAGATGTGGGATCTCCTTTGCCTTTAACCCTTTAAGGTCAGCCATTTAAATAAATATGAGATGCACTTGTTAAACAAAATGTTACTCATGGAAGAAATCAGCAATTGTGGTAAGAAAAGTAGAGAAAGTGTTTGTTTTTCTGTGCAGGATCCAGTTATAGTATAATTAGAGAGAAGCACTGGTTTGCAGTCAGGAGCCATCCTGGGGTAAGCAGGTTGTAGKGAAGTTCCCCTCACAGAGAGGGCTCTTGGTGAGCAGCAGAGACAAATGTCAGCCTAAATGAGACCTCACTTTGCAAAGACCACGATGACAAACTCTCACTTTCCTGGTAACTTCTGGTGCTGAGCAGGCTCAAGAGATGTACAGATGTACGCCAAGTACAATGACAGTAACTCAGCAAGAATTAGGTGTAGAAGGCACTAAAGGCATTCCTCCATTGGGGAGCTCTGCTGGATGTGCTGGAAGGGTCCAATTTCATTGCTGATACCATTGGTGTAGCATGTACAGCTGGCTGCAGCAAGAACTGGGAGATGTCCAAGGAAAACACACCCAGCTTTTACTGAGCCATGCAGTACCTCTTGAGTTCCCTGTTGCTCGGAACAACGTCAGTGGGAAAGTGTCACATGTAAGTAAAAATCCATGCACAAAAGTGTCTAAACATTTGTGAGCTGGAAAATATCAGACATGAAGCTTCCTGTGTGACTTGACTGGTGAGCTTTGTTAAGGGCTTTGACACATGAGCTCTTTAATTATTTCCCTGATTTTCTCTCCATTATCCTCACTGCCACCTGTCCTTGTACAGATAAAATTTGTGAATAATACAGGGAAGTTAAAAGGACCTACAGATGTTTAGAGATGACTCAGATCTGGGGTTATTTTTTTTTTCTGAGAACTTGCCATTTGTCAATATTTAAAATACTCAATTGTTTTTTACACTCATTGACATCAGCTCATACTGACTGCACAGCARGTCTACAAATTACCCCTGAGGTGTCAGGTAGCACATCCAGAGGATGCAAGTTTTATGAGGTTTTGAGCACTATTGATTAGTTCATTAGATGTATCAGCATCGCTCCAGTAACCCCCACAAAGGCTGGACTTAGTTCTAATTTTCTAAGAATTGAAGCATAATTTTATTTCCTTTTTCTAAATTCTTCCCGCTGTTTTTCACACTGTGGCCTCCCTTAAAAATAAAACATTTGTCTGATGCAGGATGTTGTTTTAATAGAATTAAATGAGTGTTTTGGAAAGAAAATTATGTTGTGTGTGGGAAAATATATAAATGTGTAAAGGAAGATTGTCCATTAATGTGTTTTTTTACAGTACTATAATTACTTTCCTCCCTCTTTTTCATTCCTTTTTTTCTTCTTTACTGGCTCACAGTGCAGATCTTTGCTATTTGAGCTCCTAGTGCTGCTCACAGCAATGAAATTACTCCTTGGGGCGTATGTGGGCTCCACACCTTTACAGGGAGGGAGACAAGGCACAAATGTTCCACTGGGTTTCTCAAACCTTTACAGACTGAGGCAGCACGTTGAGCCTGCAGGCTCCTGGCTGTACTCTTATTCTCTAGTGAATCCCAAGCCTTCTTATCATTTTTTCAATGTAGTGTTTCACTCCTGTGAGTGCACTGCTCCAGAATGGGATGTGGTCCATCTGCCTGTCCTTGGGCTGTTTGGTGCAAGTTCAGCAGCTCACTGTCACGTGATACCTGTGGTACCCAAAGGATGCTGTAGGGTTGAGGATTTTGTCAAGGTGAACATGTCTGAACTCCTACTGTAGAGATGCAAGGCACTRTAATAACCCCAAAAATGTACCAGCAGGCTTTGAGAGGAAGTTATGTTTATGGTGGTTTTTGTTTCCCCTTTTGTTTACCCTGTTATCCGAATTTTGTCTCTTCCACCTGTGGCGGGCACAGTTTCATTACAGATGGTGCAGGTCAGGCACAGCTTTGATCTTTCATGCTGTTGGTGGCAGACTTTTGTTCTTCTTAGACGTGGGATATCAGGCTGGCCTGGCAAACCTGCTGCTGGTTGATG